GCTGGTCAAAGCAGTGACCAACGCCTTCATTTGATCCTGTTGTGCTTGCAATTGCACTTGCATTTGCTCCTGTTGTGCCTGCGACTGCATTTGCATTTGCTCCTGCAGAGCTTGCGTCTGCATTTGCATTTGCTCTTGTTGAGCTTTCCATTGTGCTTGCATATGCTCCTGTTCAGCTTGTAGTCGGGCCTGCATCTGTTCCTGTTGAAGCTGCATATGCAGCTTCATCTCCTCCTGTTGGAGCCGCATCTGGTCGACCATGACCGATAGGACCCTTTCCAGAGATTCGCCATGCCGCTCTTCACTGGCTTTCGGCATGGTAGCCCTCTCTGGTGTCGACGAAGTCTTCTGCTAAATCGATAAGCTTCTCAGCAAAGCTTACTTGTCTGGCTGTCCTCGACCACTGACAGCTTCTTCCTCGATTCGAGCTGCAGCGCTTCTTCTCCTTGGACGATGGAGGCTTCCGTCCTTGTCGATCGAGCTTCTTCTGGTCCTTGTCGATCGAGCTTCTTCGGTCCTTGGTCGGTGGAGGCTTCTTGTCCTTGATCCTGATCGCCAGTTGTAGTAGAATGCGTTGAGTCGTTGACGATTTATTAGAAAAACACAAGAGTTCCCCCTCTGCCTATCGGCGTACATGCCGAGGGTTCACTAGAAATAGCTCAGGAACAACACACAAAATATATCAGAGTGCGGCGGGTACGCCGCAACCACAGAGACCATATTGACCTAGCCTATAGTGAGCGAGCAAGTTCCAACATAAGGGACGGCTCTACAACAGGGACATTTAATTCTTTCTCGTTCCTCGCTCTCGAGCTCCCCGCAGATTTTAGCTGAAATATTAACGATTTTGATTGGACCTGAAACTTTGCGCACAAAGCTTTTAGGACCCACTATTTACGAAAACCTTAGCTATTCTGCCCGAAAGAGCCTCACTGTAAAGTTACATTAAGCAGGATCTAGCTAGGTCACGCAAGCGAGCAAGTTTGCCTGCCCTTTTCGCCTATCTGCTGACGGACTTGCCTGCGCATTCTTGAAGGTTGAAGTCTCTGTGAACAGTACAGTCGGAACATACTTTAACATACATCCTTCATCTGCACTTCATCCGAAAAACGCTTATTAAAATTTTTTATGTGCAATATGCGCTGTGATATGTGATGGTGAAAAACGTGCTCAGGGAAATATTAGGTTATAAACTAAGTTTTGCAACTGGTCTCATAACTTCCCTCTCACTCAACATGGTGCACTCAAATTTTGCCACTGCGTTGGTTATTACGTAAGCTACAAGCGCGCTGCTGTTCTACCAAATTCTGACGTCGCAGTGAGGGTTGCGGTAGGTGAAGGTATGAGAAGGAAAAATTAAAAGTTTGACGGATTTGGCTGAAACTTGGCATAGGGGTGCTATCTGACATGCTGATCACGAAAACGATAGTGAAATTGCGTGATAAGGGCTTTTTTGTAGGATTACTGTAGGTGTACGATATGGGGTCTCATCCTAAACAAGGAAAAAGGCGTTGATTCCATAAATGAATTTGATATTCGCGTTTGGCAGGTCAAAAAACCTTACTATGTAAAGTCTCTGCGGAATTTGAGCTTTGGACTCTTTAGTCATTGACGGCCGTCCCCAGCAACTCTTGCGTACATCGACTCGTTCGACTTCATGAGGATTCCAGATCTCGACATGCCCCTAAATTTTGTTTCTTTCTTAGTAGGCCAAAGGAGTCAACCTCCAGCAATAATTTGTAGACGAATCCGGATTACTGCGCATGGTGCTGCCAAAGGCTTCATTTTAGCTTGAAACCCCAAAAATTCTCAAATGTCACTAATTTTCGAAAAACGCCTGAAACTTTTCTATTTTGTGTTCAAAATTTGGACAGTTTGTGCTCACTTGTAGCTCACATTGCCTTCTACATGACGCCAAAGTTTGAGTGCGCCATATCCAAAGAAAGTGAAGTTATGAAACCAGTTGCAAAACTTAGTTTCCAGCCTAATATTATGTTTACCATACGCAGCTAAATTATGTAAGCGCGAAGTAACAAGTCAATTATACTCTACAGCATGCCGTCATAACGAATACTAGCTACTGTGGAACAGGAAATGACCTTAAAGGCAGTGGATCGGCAAAAATCTACAAGTTAGGATTTCAACGGGGTAGGTTCCTTATGGCCGAAGTATGAAAACAGTGCAACCCCTGTTGCACAGCATGCTTTCCCTGCCGAGAATATTGCTCTCAAACTTACACGCGCAGGCCAATCTTACACGCGTCCACTTGACTAGGTTGAAATATGCCGAGCCACTGCCTTTAAGATCACAACTGTTGATCTTGGTAAAGTACGTATTCAAAGCGTCTTGATAAGGATATCTACCCTCCCTAGCTGCTTGACGAGCCTCTGAGAGAAGTTCTGAGCGGCTGGAAGTATAGTAGAGTCGCTGAGCTATGTCTGCATGTTATTTAAAGATTATCCGAAAGACCATAATGGGCATGATGCTGTGTGTACTCACTACAAAGAGCAAAAATTTATTAGGTACATATTGAAGTGTCCTTGTACCGCTAATTTTGATGGGCAATGATTGTTTGCGAAGTTTGGAGACGCCTATAAATTCTACTAGAAAGCTGTTCGCAAATAAGGAATTTAGATCAGATATCAGCTCACCAAAGCGCATGTGATCACGATTTCGCTTCAGATGGCCAGTGCAACATGCGATCTTTCTGTTTAGAACGAGGAACACGTGAAAAGCAACAACAAGCATCGTTTCGAAAGCAATCAATGACCTTACATCGCAGACCCTGCGCACTGTGCCTTGAGCATCAAATGAATGCAATTACCTCAATAAGCGTATTGGAGATACCCTGAGCTGGACTTAGAACAAATCGATCAAAGTTCAAAGTGACTCTTTACCGAATGAGTTGCTTTTATGATTATACGAAGGCGACTAGGCCGAAACGTTAGCCGAATAAATGCTATGATAATCTTGGTGTTGGCTCAATCATAAAAGCAACTCATTCGATATGCCAAGATTCATTGAAAGTCGAACATGGAACATCATGACTCTTTACCATATTTCAACAGTATCCGTACGGTGCCATTAGCAGCAAATCAGTGGCATCCGCGCGCTGACTAATCTAACCAAATAACGTGCAAACTGAGCGAAAACTTACTGCCTACCGTATATCTATATCTACAGTACATGGACAGTTTATGGCACTTCTTTATACCGTATGATGCGCCTCGCCGAGCTGAATCGAACGGTATCCTCAGATTCAAAATTCGTCCATTCTACATCGAGATACGGCGATGTGATGCGGATTTCCGACGGAATCTAGTGATGTGCGGCGCACTCCGTTGCACACTAGTGGACTGCGTCGCACTCCGGCGGAGTCCGCCGCAGTCTGGCGACTTTTTTGACGAATTGTGAGCGGTATTGTACTTGATGTTCTCGGACATTTTCAGACTAGATCTGCTATTTCTCGAAATTCATTCAAACGCATGTACATCCGGTAGAGGTACCATTTGATAGAACAAAGCAAGCTCTACAAGATGGTATGCAAGAGTTCCCACCAGCATGGAACCACCATAGCTATGCATCCAAAATCTGAGTCGTACTGAAGGCTCGGAAAATTTTAAAAAATTCATATCTTCATTCAGAAAGAATCCTACGGATCTCGAAATTGTTCACAAAAATCGTACACCACATCAGACAGCATATGTACCGTTCCCTATTTCTTCCTTATCTGGAAATCGAGAAGACGAAAGTTCTTATGCTTATGCAAAAACGAAGCTACGCTGTTTCTACTCATGTAATTGTATAGTACAAGCCCTTAGAATAACCGTATAAATTTTCATCTTTCCAAAGGTCCTAGTCGAAAATCAGCGGATTCAACTTTCCTCACCCGGGGCGTTCCTTGCTAATGTCTATATTTTTAACTAGGGTTTGCGGAAAGCTGAAAATCTACGGTTATACTTCTAAGGGCTTAAACTATACAATTACCTGGGTGGAAACAGCAAAGCTTCGTTTTTATATAAGCATTAAAATTTTCGTTCTCTCTATCTTCAGGTGAGGAGGAAATACAGGAAGTATTTATGAGTGTCTGATGTGGTGTGCAATTAGCATGAACCATTTGAAGATCCGTAGGATTTTTTCGAACGAAGATATGAATTTTTGTAACTTCTCGAGCTTTTAGTACGACTCAGGATGCTAAATTACGGTGGATCGGAGCTGGTACAAACTTTGCATGCCGTCTCGTACAGCTTGACTTGCTCTATCGAATGGTTTTCTATCGGATGTACATAAATCAGATGAAATAGCACATTTAGTTTGGAAATGTCTGAAAACTTTTGAGCCAACCTAATAACTTTCACAAAGAGGTTTTTCTATGATTTGTAAAGGATTTTAGATTTGAAAAACACTTTGTTGGCCTTCCCAAAAGAGATAAAACTTTTCCCGTTGGTTCATTACCCTAAATTGGAGTAAGGCACACTCAGCAAAACGCAATCAAAAACCGACTAAAACCTCAAAATTGGAATTAGGCCCAGCTCACATTGCTGCTGAGAGTCAAATGTCCTTCTAAGTACATTTGAATGGAGTTAAATCCCATGTCCCGTTCTATAGAGATTTTTCGTATGAAACTAATTTCCGTATGATTCTATCGCAAACGAAAGCTTAGGTAGGGTTGAATCATCTTCAATGCACTGCTTTACCTTTTGGTTGCGAAGGATGAAAATTTTGATAACGCTTTTGATAAAACCCGACCAATTTCTAGCGGGAACGAATAAAATGGGGTGGGGAAGTCCATTTTCCTCCATTAGGGACTTTCGCGCACATAAATCCTAATAGAAATAAGAAGAATATGGTGAGGAAGTCAGAGGGTATGAAGCATCTCGAAAATGAGGCGTAACTGACGCCTCCCCTTCATTCAAGATACAATGTTGATGACTGCGATAATCTTGTTGAATAAGTTCGAAAACAAAAAAAAACAGAATGAAGTAACAATTGGCATTCACCTGTATATCTGGGATTGAAACAGGATAGTAGCAACCGCCTTGCGGTGCATTCCACTTGTCCAAATTGTATTCTTGCCAGTTCTTTCTGCAGAAGCAATTTGCTGAAAAGATGGTAAGTAGATCACAGTCTAACACCTGAAAAAAAAACTGTTTCGGTAAAAACCCTACAACTTTCCGTTAAATAGTCGATTTGTTCATAAAATTTATGAGAAGGCATTCAAAAAAAAGTGATGAATCAGTAAATCACCCTTGCAAAGAAGATCTCTCAAATCGTTTACAAGTAAATATGTTCCGTCATTCTTCTCATTCGTAAGGTTGTAGTTGGGAGAAGCAAGGGACCGTAACTCTGGCACTTCTAAGCCATGTTCTTGGACATATTCTTAATCAAATTTGTGGTTACACAAAATATGCAAATTGCAGAGGTTATTTACCGAGCGTTATAATTGCACCACCGTTTTCACGGAAGCCTGCGGCAGCTTGTGATGGATCGTTATAAGCTCCAGATCTATGGAATTAATGAAGAAAAATGATAGTACAGGTTTTTCTGCACTTATGCACCTGTAGGAATTTCCAACAATTATAACTACAGGTCGTGCGGCGATACGATGAACACTGCTGTTAAAGCGGTCTGTAGCCATTTTGAGAGCTCTGTAAAACTCTAGCACATGGGAAAAGTCGAGAAAATACAAACTCAAACCCCTCGATATTTGTGCCCAGATCGTCGTAAATTTTTATTTCAAGATCAAGTAGATCTGTTGTGGACTTGTAGGTGTCCAAATCGGCGATAAGCTCCACATCCGAAGCATAGCGAATCACTCCAAAGCGAGTTTGGTACTGCTCGGCTTGCCCAATTGTCAGTTTCATAAATGCAGTCTCTATGTAGTTAATTGCCTATAAATTGCACCAATATCATTTCTATTTTTATTTTTTGAATGAAATTAATTGCTGCAGCTTATAGGAAAAGTGCAGTAAGAGTTCCTAGACTTCTTATGCATACAAAAGGCGGGCCGAGGAGGGAGGTGGGAAGGGGGGGGAGAGAATGGGGAGGGGGTATGGTGCTCGAAATCATTGAAAGTTATCTACATTAGTTGAAATGTGGTGCAAACAATTCGTTACTCACTTGTAAACAAATCGAATATTCAGAAATTTTTCAGAATTCAAAATTGTTTTGTAGGGAAAGTTTTCAGAAGCGTGGCTGCAACGCGCCCTTTTCCGAAATCGGAACTGGGAAGCATCCCACAATTATTTTCGAGTGCCACGCCATTTGGAGAAAAAACTGCCCTCCCCCCTCCGGAGGCAAATTTTCTCGGACCGTCACTGACGAACAGTAATCGCGGTGTTTCAATTTCTCTCACTTCCAAACCATAGTCGAGAACGCTGATTGGTAACTGCGGTCTGGGTGAGAATTAGAAGTAGAGATCAGCCATACTACTGTTCCTCACATGGGCATAAGAGCATGCGGAAAGAGCAGTTGTCAGCGAGCCGCTCAGCGGTGGTATTCGTTTTTATACTCATATAATCACTGCGAGGACCAGCGACCCCTAACGCTGCCCTTGGATTGACCATTCGCGGCACCAGATTTGTTTGTTCGGCAACCCGCGGCTGCATGTCATCGCAGAACACCCGCGGCTCAAGAAAAAGCATTCGGGCGAGTTCCGGGCCTTATAGGACGCCCTGCATATTTATTTTTCGAGCAAGCTCCAGCCTTTAGGCCACGGCCCGACAGAACCATTCTGTTGAGCCGCGAACCTACACGCTGTAAAAGAAAACGTGACTTATGAGATACGGCGCGGTGATAGGGCTGCCTTCAACGTTTTCAGCCTGATTAGAAGTTAGTAAGTCAGGCTCTGGTCATTGTTAGTGGCCGGTGTCCACCACTGGAATCCTTGACACTAGGACCAAGGATGGAGGGGTGGTTTGAACTAGTTTCAGACGTCATCTTGTATTTTTGTGTAGATCGTGGCCTTTAGGTCAGGCTGGAAATGAAGTCGGGTGTTCAAAATCCTACTAATTTAGATACATATTGAGCCATCCGCGGTGCGGCGGTGGTCGCCATAATTGTCCGAGTAAGGTCCTCCCTAAGGTTTTGCTGCTTGGCACTTAGGGTCTCCTTTTAGTTGGTTTGAACTAACTTTTGCGTAGCAAATGTTGGAAAAAATTTTAGTCAGACTTACCCCATCAATTCCAGATTGCATAGAAGTTGTGGCTTCCATCAGTAAGAACACATCAAGCCATATAGTTCCATGGTTACATTCACATCCAGCGTTGGCGCTACTAGCTGGTGGCAGGGTAGGATATACCGGTGGCTGTGTCGCGTAAGTAGGATCTACAAGTTGTCATGTTCCTCAATACATCACCATGAATTCTAATCATGAGAGCATTCACTCGCAACTGTTGTTGCACAGATTTTTTTTTCAACTAAAAGTAATAACAAATGTTCAGATTTTTTGATAATGCACAGGAACGTTGATGAGTTGGAGAAAAAACGTTAAGGATTTGGCGTCTTCAATATCTTCGGCAGGCATGTGTCGAACGCACACTTTTTTGTAGTCTAACAATAAGAGGCTATTATTTGCGTGCGAGCCTTTTACATGACTTGCACGGTATAGTTGTAACGACGGAAATTTTCATCGAATGAACGAATATCGAATAATTGAATTTTGAAAAAATTTCGAACGACTGAATATCGAATAAATGATTTTCAAAGAATTTTCGAATGAACGAATATTATTCGATTTCCAATTTTAATATTATTCGAATTCGAATATTCGAATATGGTCACAGTCCGAAATTCGAATGAACGATTATTCGAGTAACTGGACTACTTGATCGAATATTCGACTATTCGAATAATCGAATAACCGGATATTATCGAATATTCGAATATTCGAATTTTTGAATATTCGAATGCAATATTCAAATCACTACGTATCATGGTTTTCTGCACCATCTGTACACGATAGCAGATGGTAGCTGAGGAGGTGCGCGACGAGATGCGGACACCCCTTGCAAGACAAGTGTTTTCGAGTACCGAACCGTTTCGAACGGTTTTTCTATTGCAATAGGTTTCGCTTAAGGACAAAATCAAACCGTCAACACAACATCGTGTTTGGCCTATTCGAACAGCCTCGAAACAATGTTTTCACATAAGTCACATGATCACAATTGCATATGAGATCCTGAGCAAGAACTCCGGAAGATAACAAAACTAGACAAATGTCTATGGTTGTTGAGTTCAACATAACAACATCTGTTTTATGCAGGGTTGTTGCCACATCTTCTTACGTGAGTTCTAATCACTGTAATTTTTTTGCTTTAAACTGTTAAAGGTGGTTCGACATTTCCAGTTTGATTATAGTTCTACTGTGGCTAATTTTCACAAATTAGAAGAAACATGCCTTTAGATGCGTTTACGTTCTTATTTCTATTTCTTTACTTGTACAAAGAGTCTACATGAGGTGAATGAGTCTCCGGGTAGAACTAGTTGGACCCTTTCTCAAACGATTTGACTTGGAAAATACAGTGTTTGGCAGATGATTTCCTAGAATTTGATGCAGTTTTCGCTTTCTGAAGCTTTTACTTTGAGAAAAATCTGTTTTGTTGTAGACGGAAAAGCGTGTAACTGGGTCTTTGTCGGAGACGATGCCTCAAAAGAAAGGGCACGTTTTGAGAGATAACCGCGCACCGCAGACAGTAATCACAAATTTTGATTAAAACCATGTCTGAAGGCTTCATGTAAAATTCTCATTGTTGTTTGTAAAAAAATTAGTATTCGTGTAACTGGGTTTCGCTGATGGAATCGAGCGTTTACTTGAGAAGTTCTGCTTTCGCCTCTAAAAAAGAAAGCGATTGAGTAACGGGTTTTGTCCAACGCTTGAGGTCTCGCTAATGGAGATGAGCTCCTACTCGTGATTGGTTGATAGCCTCTACTAAGGGAAATCCAATGCTTCAGTTACTGGGCCTCGCTGGCGGAGGTGAGCTTCTACTTGGCGAAATTCAACGCCTGAATAATTCCGTCTCGTTAGTGGGAATGAGCTTCTATTTGAGCGAACAAGGCGCTTGAGTAACCGGATCCCACTGATTGAGATGAGTTGCTACTTGGGGAATCCAACGCTTGTGTGGCTGGGTCTCGCTGGTGGAGATGAGCTTTTACTTGGGGGAACCCAGCGCTAGAGTAACTGGGTTCTCGCTGATGGAGGACAGCTTCTACCTTGGAAAAAATTTTTCATCCTGTCAAAAGGGCTTGCGAAAAGGAGCGTACTTGGAGATATTGGCTTTTCCTTGAAGAAGAAAAAGCATATAAGTAACTGAGTCTGGTGGCGGAGAAGGGCGATTTTTCGGGAAATCCAGCTTTTGGGTAACTGGGCCTCACTAGAAGCCAATAATTTTTAGGGAAGGAACGCCGGATATTGGCTTCGTTTCGGGCAATTTGCAAGAATTGATCAGAGATTAATATACGCGTTTGTAGCAGCAAAGGAAAGCGTAAGAATAACAGTGGCGAATCCGACTTCTTTGAACGACACTACCCGAGAAGTGACTTCGTATCGCAGATGCTTCGTATCCAGTAAAGAATCTGATCTGAGCCCTTACTTGAGGTAAACCTGCTTCTTCTTGAAAGTGGAGCGTATGAGTAGCATTAATGTAGGTCACGCTTTCCAACAGAGGCACTTCTTCGGAAATTGCCTTCATTTCACATGAGAAGTCTTATCCACTCTGCTTTGTAAGCGTTTTCTTGGAGGAAAACCTCACTTATGCTCGTAGAAAAGCGAATTGGCTCGGTGACGCAAGAGGAGAAGGTTTGAAGGTTAGGGGCACTATTCTAGAGAAGTCTTTTGAACGCTTTCACCCGATAAAATTCCACCTTTGAGAATGAATTCAATGATTTGGCTAATAATACTTCAAAGTAGAATCTAAGTATGCAGGAACATAATTCAAAGTTTGAAGCATCTGCTTCGGTCCAATTATAGCGACCGAGGGATCGCTAGTCTAATATATAAAGAAATGTAAGCGCAATTCAAAAATCTGCAAATAGCGGGAAACCGCATGGCGGTCCCAGCGCGCGCGGATGCAATCTAGCACTTATAGTTACTGGTTCACTAGTATTCGAATATTCGAATAACTGTCTTTTAAAACTCCTCGAATGAACGAATATTCGAATAACTCATTTTTCCAAATCATCGAATGAGCGAATTATTCGAATATAGGCTTTTTCCATTTATTCGACTATTCGTATAATCGAATAACATAATATTTGAAATATTCGACTATTCGAATAGTCGAATATTTCAAATAAATTATTCGAACACGAATATTCGGTGGTAACTATATTGCACGGGCTACCAGATTACCAAGTCAGTGCTGCTTCTATTCTCCCAAAATTACTCTGATACCACACCGACTCCGAGGATAGAGGGTTTGGTTGACCCAGGTTGGAATCGGACCTGCATCCGGCTTGGTCATAACGACGCCTCATACCACTACGCCAATCATCCCTCGTACTGAAAATACTGTCAATAGCCTCATCCCGTTAACTGGGTAATGTATTGATTATTCTTCATTTTTCTGACAAAATTCATAATCAGAAGGATGCCGTTAATCGTGATAAAAGTTTTGTTGATCCCAATACCGTAGCTTTTGCATATAGGGATTCTTCACTTTCTTAATCAGGGAATGAGCTTATCTGGGTAGAACTCTCAAGCACCACTTGGATAATAGAACAGGTGTTATGTCAGTCCCCTTGAAAAAAAAAATTTCTATTTATGTTGTCAAAACAAACCACAAATAGATTCGTCCACATATCGTGACAGTTGATCTGGTTCTGTTGTAAGCGCATCATACACAACAGTGTGCTGGAAAATGCTTATGAGATAATTTTCGATAGGATGACTGTAAATGACTCACCGGCCAGGAGGAAAACGAGCAATTACCGTAGTTCACAATCACTATGGAAAGATCTACTGCCATTTTATTATCGATGTAGTATTGAACTGTTGATGCTGCATTATCTACGTCGCTTTGATCTCTAAAAAGAAGTACGGATAATCTCCAATACTTGTGACCGTAATCGTTACAAAAAGGAGAAAGGCTAGATTTAGTAATGATGTTAGGCTGTTCCATTTTTTTTTCAAAATCAAAAATGAATATATCTTGGCAGCGAAAGCATCTACAACGATATGAACATATGGTTATATTTCTCAATGCATAAACTTATGATTACATGTGTAAGAGGAGCCCAAGACATTAAAGCGGAGTTTGCCACTTTACCTGAAATATTTTTTTCTTTGTTTCTACATTACTAGGAAAAAAAAGCAAACCACGTGGAATACGATTTCGGCGAATGCTTGATGACTATCTTGTAGCCTTGCTTTGCTCTATCGTATACAGCACTGGCAGTGCCGCTTTTCAAAGCTGCGTTTTAAACGCAATAAAGCGTCGGAAGTGCCGCATCGCTATAACTGTTTCCAAGTTACTTCTATCGAGCTCTGGTTTAGATATTTGAAACCAGCGCTGTCTGATCCATCCGATAGTGTGTTTGAAAATTGGAAAATTCACAATTTTTTTGTGTCCCACGGCGCAATAAACGCGATATTGCGTCGGAAGTGCCGCATTCGAATAACTTTCCACAAAACTACTCTTTTTGATTATCGTCATTATAACTGGACTCAGCAATAAATTGCTCTATCCGACAATATATTCAAAATCTGAAAAAGTCAAATTTTTCATGTGCCGCAGGGCACATTAAACGCGTTTTTGCGCCGGAAGTGCCGCATTGTTATAACTGCCTTCAAAACCCTCCCACAAAATTTTGTTTACATGGATGTCATCAGTGTTCCTTGAGCTACCCGCCAATGTGTTTGAAAGTTTGAAAATCTCAATTTTTAGTGAATTACACGCTCTAAGTCTTATTGGTCCCTCTTTTTGCACTGATAAGCTAATAACGATCATCAAAGTAATCGTACAAAATTTTGAACAACATATTTGAAATCAGCTCTTCGCAGTCTATCGAATGATGTGTTTAAAAACCTAAAAATCTCAAATTTTTTGTTTCCGATTTTATTGGTCCCTCATAGTGGTATAATTAGCTAGGCTGGCTCCGGCCCCTGGCTGCAGTGACCTATCAGTATCGATTTTTGTAATCAGGATAGATCTGATATAACAATATATGGGAGAGATCTTTACATGTTGACTTTCACATTTCGTAAGTGCAGTACACAAGGGAACTCGAAATTTTACATCATGAACTTCACTTTTTGAAATCCTCGAAATCTAGAAATCACCTCTAATTTGTCCAAAAATTCCAAGAGACGTTAAGCAAAATTGAAGTAGGCTTACTTTCCAGGTTTTGGAACAGGTATTGCCATTGTCGCTCTGGATTTTCCCATTTAAACTGGTAATTTCAGGAAAATGTTTCAACAACAAATTCAGAAATTCCAAGGCGCACTGTAAGCAGGTATCGAAATCCGAGCAAACCTGAATTTTTCTTTTTGAAACAAATATGGCCACGACTGGCTCTTCTCTTTTGAAATTTTAACATCTTGAGGGAAAAATCGTCAAATTCGAAATTTCGTAGACAGCGCTATCCCAGCCTATAGTTTCATAGCGGGCCTTGCGCACACGGTTTTATCACCAATTAAACTTGAAGAAATGGATCTGTTTACAAAAATCAGAAAAGAATTTTCAATGAAAATCGCAAAATTTGTTTGATTTTTCCAATTCCTATGTTGTGTCCTTAGAATTTCGAAGCTTCTGAAACTATAGGTTAGAAAAGCGCTGTCTACGAAATTTCGATTGGAATGCCTGGTTGGTAAGCTTAGCAGAGGCAAACATTAAAGATTTTGGTGTTGAAATTTCCGAAGTCGAAGATCTCGAAATTTTTGTTTCTATTAATGTGGCAGATGTAATTAACTTGTGCTCTATGAACTCTAACTTTTTGTCGCTTCCCCTGACTAACAATCATAGAGTACCCAGTATCTCAAGACTTAGTAGACATTATCATCTATTAGATTCCCCAGTTCAAAATCAGAGGATTGTCAAGAACTCCTGCTTGGGTGCGCATGCACCTAGATCTGTGACCGCACATTCGCACATTGTAGTGAACTCTGCTAGAACATCAGCCCTGTGAATGCAGGTTTAACCTACTGATTCAAAAGGTAGTTTTTTTCGATTCTCAAAATATCTTCTGAGTGAAGTTCTTCGAATTTCGAAAGTCCAACTCAATCGAAAGTTTCAATGTTTTAGTGTGATATGTGTTTGTGTGCACGGCCAGACGTGCTTGTTTTTTGAAAACCCCTTGCTACATTTGCCCCATAACAGGAAAATTGCATGATCGATTCATGGCCTCAGATTAACCATCAACAACACCCACTGACGCCGGAGAACGGAACTTACCTACTCGAGATATTCTCGCACCTCAAAGGTGTCTGCGGGGTATAATTAGGCATGGCGAGCTCGCTGATTTTGGATGCTCCTTAGAATACATCGCTAAGCTAAGCCCCGCCCACACATAGCAAATTTTTGGCATAGAACCAAGATATGCCAGAAAACTTGGCAGTACCTGAGGACATCGAGGTTGGCTCAGCGCCAGAATGTGCCAAAAGAGGGCTGCGAGGTTCAAATTGGATCTAATGGAAAGAAAAAAAGATGATTGTTATCAGGAGAACTAGGCAAACTTGATTATGATTGAATTTCACAGCACAGCATTAAGTGCTTAGAAAAATTCAGTTCTAAACAAAAAAAATCCATAAGTCTAAAAATGAACTCATTCGACCGTTGAAAAAAGTTTCAGATTACAAAAAAGCATGCAGCATCCTCGGGGCTCGGTTAATAGACTAGCTGACCTTCATTGTCTTTTATGATCAAGGTTTTAGATCCTCATGGCATGCTGTTCCCACTAGAGAAATAGGTCATTCGTCTAACGTTTCGAGAGAAACAGTGAAAAGTAGTTTGACATGCCAGTATTAGGAAATGTCTAGTCGAATCAACCTTTAATGTTTTGTCTTACAAAGATTTCGCTAGAAGATAAACAATCTGAAAAATACACAACTTAGTAAACAAAATAATTATTTTACATGCTGGCGTGTTCTTTTTCATCGTGATTTTGTAAGCTGAGAGTCGAATTCATCAGTTTATTAGAATTCCGCTCTGTAATGGAAAGACCGCGCAAAACCAATAGCATTTTTGAAGAGAGCGCCTCAGAAAACCCCTAAATTTACATTTTCACCGAATCTGAGCAGATATTGTTGCTCAACATCAGTTTTTTGATTCTATTGAATTCCCTGTTTCATGATTGATGGATGCATCACGAAAGCGAAGATCACTGGGGGCTTAGAATATACACAGACTAGGCTCTGTACAATGTGCTAATTGCCGTTATTGACAACTCATGACCGCATTCCACGTTGCCGCAAGTCTTCGGGTAGGTAAGTTCCCTCACCCACTGACGCCACCAGATCCACGTCTCAAGAATTCATGCGAACAGATTTATAAGAAGCGACGGTTGCAAAATATCACCATAACTGTCACTACACAATGTTCGAAAGTTTTTATGCGTCTAATGTGGAGACTAGAGAAAAATTGCTTTAAAATTTCATTTCTAATTCAAAAACGACTGTATCTGCTTTACAAATCGCATTCATTGTAAAAAAAAAGCTTGACAATGAACGATTTCTACCAAATATTTCGAAATGAACGCTCTTAAGACTGAACTCTCGAGCTTTAATCAGAAGTGAACATCCTGTATGCTCTTACGCAGATTTCATGCTGCTAAATGTATTGAGTTCCAAGAATTCCAAAGCTGCATCTGTTTTTTAGTTCGCCTAAGAGTTTGATGGGTCTAACGTCGAAACCAGAAGCTGTTTCTATGAAACATTCACCCTGCGGCTACAAAAAAATCAAAAAAGTATGATCAGAAGGTTTGCTTTTAGCCATGCTGTTTCTAGACACATGGCATACCTCAGTTGCTGCCAGTAGATCAGCACGCTGATATGGTCTCGGAAATTAATCCACAACAGAGGATTGGAAGTTGCTTAATGTGCAAAAAGCTCCAGAAGTAGAGTAATGCTTACTAAGTGTTTTTAATGCAGATTTCTGGCTATCTGAAAGAAAATTACACTTTACATAAAATGAGAAAGGACGCTGGTCTACAATTGACTCCAAAATTCCGGCATGCACTTAATCGGCAAAAAAAATATTTCGTTGGCATTAGTATTGTACAAGCGATAAATCAGCGAGATCTTATTCTTATAAGTAAATGTTTAAGCTTCATGGCTACTTAAAGACAGAATAAGTCAGAGTATTTCCTCGATTTTGATGAAAGCGTTAGAACCATTGATTCCACTCAGTTTGGGGCAATCGACTCACCCCCCCCCAGGCAAGTTTTCTCACCTCAACGTCTATCGCCTGTAAATTTCATCACTTCCACCTTCTTTTTCAACGATCTTCGATTCAGCATAGCGCTTACAAGTGTAAATCAGTAGTCCGCAAGAAATAAGCTTTGATAAGCATCAGCTTTTGATCTCCGTAATGGTCTTCATAATAAGATGGGATTTTCTTTCTTATTTTTTTCAAATCAAAAGGCCATTAAAAAAGAGTCGCACAATAACGTTGCTAATCTCTGCCATCTCAAGCAAGAAGTCGAAACGACCAACATGGGTACGACAAACAACATGGGTACGCATGGATTTGGTTATTCTAAGTATTCAAAAATTCTGATTCAGGATATGTAGTCTATTAAAGTCTCATTTTTCATTGATTTCGGTCTTGAAAGTTGATTACATCTACACTAAGCTTACTAACCAGGCATTCCAATCGAAGTTTCGAATTTCGAAGGACACAACATAGGAATTGGAAAAATCAGACAAATTTTGCAATTTTCAAATTCTTTTCTGATTTTTGTAAACAGATCCATTTCTTCAAGTTCAATTGGTGATAAAACCGTGTGCGCAAGGCCCGCTATGAAACTTTAGGTTGGAATAGCGCTGTCTACGAAATTTCGAATTTGACGATTTTTCCCTCAAGATGTTAAAATTTCAAAAGAGAAGAGCCAGTCGTGGCCATATTTGTTTCAAAAAGAAAAATTCGGGTTTGCTCGGATTTCGATACCTGCTTACAGTGCGCCTTGGAATTTCTGAATTTGTTGTTGAAACATTTTCCTGAAATTACCAATTTAAATGGGAAAATCCAGAGCGACAATGGCAATACCTCTACCAAAACGTGGAAAGTAAGCCTACTTCAATTCTGCTTAACGTCTCTTGGAATTTCTGGACAAATTAGAGGTGATTTCTAGATTTCGAGGATTTCAAAAAGTGAAGTTCATGATGTAAAATTTCGAGTTCCCTTGTGTACTGCACTTACGAAATGTGAAAGTCAACATGTAAAGATCTCTCCCATATATTGTTATATCAGATCGATCCTGATTACAAAAATCGATACTGATAGGTCACTGCAACCAGGGGCCGGAGCCAGCCTAGCTAATTATACCACTATGAGGGACCAATAAAATCGGAAACAAAAAATTTGAGATTTTTAGGTTTCTAAACACATCATTAGATAGACTGCGAAGAGCTGATTTCAAATATGTTGTTCAGAATTTTGTACGATTACTTTGAAGATCGTTATTAGCTTATCAGTGCAAAAAGAGGGACCAATAAGACTTAGAGCGTATAATTCACTAAAAATTGAGATTTTCAAACTTTCAAACACATTGGCGGGTAGCTCAAGGAACACTGATGACATCCATGTAAACAAGATTTTTGTGGGAGGATTTTGAAGGCAGTTATAACAATGCGGCACTTCCGGCGCAAAAACGCGTTTAATGTGCCCTGCGGCACATGAAAAATTTGACTTTTTCAGATTTTGAATATATTGTCGGATAGAGCAATCAGTGCTGAGTCCAATTATAATGGCTATAATCAAAAAGAGTAGTTTTGTGGAAAGTCATTCGAATGCGGCCGAAAACTTTTGCTGATTAATTTTTTTTGCTTCCGTTGTATCAATTGAGTTTTTCAAAATTTGAATTCTTTAACTGCAAAATTTACTTTGATATGAGCTTATTTCTATAAGGTGTTATTCACTGATCTACCTAATGACGTTGAAAAAATTGCTTAGGCAGACGTTCGAAGATTCTTTTAAGATTTCAATAAGGCTTCCGCAGGGTTACATTTTTCGAGCGAATGGACATGATGGCTATGCTTGCTCAACTGATTGGTGAACTTGGTGTTTGAGTTACCGAATACTTACTCTAGGGCGTTTATTGAATGAAATGAAAAAAATATAAGTCTCTCCAGCTATTGAAGCAAACAGCTAAGAACATAGTGGCAACCACATAACTCATTGTACAAGGTATTCCACGTGCGTACTTTTTGATTGCTTTTAACTCTTTTGC